CATTCCACATCCCTCTGCACCGCTCTGTACCTTTCAGGTGGAGCTATCGGACCCCAAGGCTGAGCTGCGCATGCTGCAGGTGTTTTACAACAAGATCTACAAGATCTTCCCCCTCATCTCATACTGGTCTTCTTGCTCTTCACCGCTCTGCACCCCTCTGTGCCGTTCTTTACCCTAGGTGGAGCTGTCGAACCCCAAGGCAGAGCTGCGCATGCTGCAAGTGTTTTACAACAAGATCTACAAGATCTTCCCCCTCACAGAGCAGATCGATACCATCAACGACCAGTACTGGAGCATCAGGGCCGAGGAGGTGAGAGCAGTAGCAAAAATACAATCATTTATTAACACACACACACACACACACACAAACACAAACACACACACACACACACACACACACACAACCGCAAACAAAAGTCAAAAACAACAAAGAAAAAAAAAGCAATGGAGGAATTACAATTCAAGTGCTTCGGTGTTCCTCACCCTCCTGTCTGTCTCTATCCATCGCCCACTGCAGATTCCAGAGGAGGAGCTGACCATGGGCCCTCAAGACCGGGTGATCCACGTGTATCACTACACGCGGGATGCAGGCGGGCAGAACCAGATGGTGAGTTTTTGCGATGTACCTTCAAAGCGGACACTTGTTGTGTGTGTTTCAAACCCAGTGACTTTTGAGGCGTACAATCAAACATGGGCCCTCAAGACCGGGTGATCCACGTGTATCACTACACGTGGGATGCTGGCGGGCAGAACCAGATGGTGAGTTTTTGCGATGTACCTTCAAAGCGGACACTTGTTGTGTGTGTTTCAAACCCAGTGACTTTTGAGGCGTACAATCAAACATGGGCCCTCAAGACCGGGTGATCCACGTGTATCACTACACGCGGGATGCAGGCGGGCGAACCAGATGGTGAGTTTTACACTGTCTCTCGAACAACTGTTTTCTGTACAAGCAATCACTCGAAAGCAACATGGGCCGTCAAGACCGGGTGATCCATGTGTAACACTACACCCGGGATGCAAGCGGGCAGATGAACCAGATGGTGAGTTTTGCACAGCCCCTTGAATCCGCTACAATAGTTTCGCGTGATTTCATCAATTACTCAAAAGAAGCATGGGCCCTCAAGAAGACCGAGTGATCCACGTGTAACACTACACCCGAGATGCGGGAGGAGGAGGACAGAACCAGATGGTGGGTGTCTCCAGTTGTCTTGAATCTGATCGAATCTGATCTAATCTGATCGAAACTGATCAAATCCACGAGAGAGAGTTCCTCATTGTTCATACTCATTGCCCTCATGCTCTTCAACCCAAGTGTTTCTGTCGTGTCTCATGTTAGTGCCACATGTGGCTTTTGAGTTGACTCAAAGCTTGGTCTTGAGGATGTGAAGCTTCGCCTTTGCGACAAAAACCTTCTCTGCCTGCCACACCACCTGCTCCTTCCCTCTGCCTGCCACACCACCTGCTCCTTCCCTCTGCCTGCCACACCACCTGCTCCTTCCCTCTGCCTGCCACACCACCTGCTCCTTCTCTCTGCCTGCCTGCCTGCCACTGCACCCACCCACCAGCTGCAGACGTTTGGAGACCCGTTCTTCTTGGTGGTGGGGCAAGCGGAGACCCTCGCGGCGGTGAAGCTTTGTCTTTGTGCCCACCTGTCCCCGGCCCACTGTCCTGCCTGCCACCCCACCACCCACCAGCTGCAGACGTTTGGAGATCCATTCTTCCTGGTGGTGGGGGAGGCAGAGAATTTCGCAGAGGTGAAGCAACACCTGTGTGCCTAAATTTTACTGTGTTAGCCTTCCCCCCCCCCCTGCCTACTGCTGCACATGCCACCAGCTGCAGACGTTTGGGGATCCGTTCTTTCTGGTGGTGGGGGAGGCGGATACCCTCGCGGAGGTGAAGCAGCGCCTTAGTGCCTTGAACCTTCCCTGTCCCCCACCCACTGCCTTGCCTGCCACTGCACCCACCCACCCCACCCACCCACCAGCTGCAGACGTTTGGGGATCCGTTCTTCCTGGTGGTGGGGGAGGCGGATACCCTCGCGGAGGTGAAGCAGCGCCTTAGTGCCTTGAACCTTCCCTGTCCCCCACCCACTGCCTTGCCTGCCACTGCACCCACCCACCCCACCCACCCACCAGCTGCAAACGTTTGGGGATCCGTTCTTCCTGGTGGTGGGGGAGGCAGAGACCCTCGCGGAGGTGAAGTGAAGCAGCGTCTTTGCACCTATCCACCACCCATCCACTCTCTCACCACCCATCCACTCCCTCTTCCTCTCCACCCCCCCACCCTCCTGCCTGCCACTGCCCCCACCCATCAGCTGCAGACGTTTGGAGATCCCTTCTTCCTGGTGGTGGGGGAGGCAGAGACGCTCGCGGAGGTGAAGCAGCGGATCAAGGCGCGGCTGGGTACAGCGGACGAGGAGTTTAACAAGTGGAAATTTGCCTTTGTGGCCCTCGGCACGCCGGAATACCTGCAGGATTCTGATGTCGTGGCTGCTCGCTTCCAGGTGAGTGAGACTGGTTGTATCAATGGGGGTTCGTGGTATGTAAGTGAGGAGTTTAACAAGTGGAACTTTGCCTTTGTGGCCCTCAGCACGCCGGAATACCTGCAGGTCTCTGATGTTGTTGCTGCTCGCTTCCAGGTGAGTGAGAATATGTATCAAGGGGGGTTTGGGGGTGTGTAAGCCATTGAGGCTGGGCGTGGCAGAACAGGAGTTTGGCAAGTGGAGTTTCGCCTTTGTGGAGTTTCGCCTTTGTGGAGTTTCGCCTTTGTGGAGTTTCGCCTTTGTGGAGTTTCGCCTTTGTGGAGTTTCGCCTTTGTGGAGTTTCGCCTTTGTGGAGTTTCGCCTTTGTGGAGTTTCGCCTTTGTGGCGTTTCGCCTTTGTGGAGTTTCGCCTTTGTGGCGTTTCGCCTTTGTGGAGTTTCGCCTTTGTGGAGTTTCGCCTTTGTGGAGTTTCGCCTTTGTGGAGTTTCGCCTTTGTGGAGTTTCGCCTTTGTGGAGTTTCGCCTTTGTGGAGTTTCGCCTTTGTGGAGTTTCGCCTTTGTGGAGTTTCGCCTTTGTGGAGTTTCGCCTTTGTGGAGTTTCGCCTTTGTGGAGTTTCGCCTTTGTGGAGTTTCGCCTTTGTGGAGTTTCGCCTTTGTGGAGTTTCGCCTTTGTGGAGTTTCGCCTTTGTGGCGTTTCGCCTTTGTGGAGTTTCGCCTTTGTGGAGTTTCGCCTTTGTGGAGTTTCGCCTTTGTGGAGTTTCGCCTTTGTGGAGTTTCGCCTTTGTGGAGTTTCGCCTTTGTGGAGTTTCGCCTTTGTGGAGTTTCGCCTTTGTGGAGTTTCGCCTTTGTGGAGTTTCGCCTTTGTGGAGTTTCGCCTTTGTGGAGTTTCGCCTTTGTGGAGTTTCGCCTTTGTGGAGTTTCGCCTTTGTGGAGTTTCGCCTTTGTGGAGTTTCGCCTTTGTGGCGTTTCGCCTTTGTGGCGTTTCGCCTTAGTGGAGTTTCGCCTTTGTGGAGTTTCGCCTTTGTGGCGTTTCGCCTTTGTGGCTTTCGGCACGCCCGAGTGCCTTCAGGATTCCGATGTGGTTGCTGCTCGCTTCCAGGTGAGAGTGGTTGCACAGCACTGAAAGGGTGGGTTGAAGGGGTTGGGGGACGGGATGTGTCTGGAAGCGAGGCTGGGCATGGCAGAACAGGAGTTTGGCAAGTGGAGCTGCGCCTTTGTGGCGCTCGGCCACGCCCGAGTGCCTTCAGGACTCCGATGTGGTTGCTGCTGACTTAAGTTGACTCAAAGCTGGCTGATTGGGATTCAGGTTCTCAAGAGCTCGTGGGAATCCATCCACTTACACGAATGTGAGCTCGTGGGAATCCATCCACTTACACGAATGTGAGCTCGTGGGAATCCATCCACTTACACGAACCGCGTGTAATGAGTCTGCTTTTGAGTTGACTCAAAGCTGGCTGATTGGGATTCAGGTTCTAAAGAGCTCGTGGGAATCCATCCACTTTTCCAACCGTCCATCCGGCCATCCATCCACACCCACCCACCCTCCCTCCCATCCACCCATCCACCCATCCACCCACACACCATCCAATATCACGTCTCTAACCCATGCTTTCTCCCTGGATTTCCGCTGTTACGTTGCCCCGCCTGTTCCACCAATAGAAGCGCGATACGTGGGAATACTATCTGGGCTTGGAACATCCAGACACCAACCCCCCCAAGAGGGTTCAGCACAACCAGGTGTGTGTTACAACTTTGTGTTACAACTCTGTTACAACTCTGTGTTACAACGACTCTGTGTTACAACTCTGTTACGACTCTATCTTACGACTCACGTGGTCCTTTTCTATTCCTGCCCTGCAGAACCGGCATGCCTATGAGAAGCCTGTGAAGATCTACAATTGAAAAAGGAAAATTGCAATAGCAGACTTTCAACTGTGCAACAGCTATATAATGATTTACAAATTAGAGTACACAATGTCATCATGGTACCCCGCCCTACTTGTTTAAAAAGAGTTGGTCCATCACACCCCTTCATGGAGCAGTTTCGGTACTACAATGGTCCAATGCAAATTGCAATACCGTATCACTGCACTTGTCTTGGGCACTACCTGTAACCCTCTATTGCCTTTATATGACCGGGCGCCCTCTTCTATACAACGCCCCCAATAGTGAACTCCCCTGCCAGAAGTTACCCCAATAGGAAAATCACCTGTGTAACCTCCCTAGATAGCTACAATATGATGTACAAGAATTATTAATTTCATAGAAGCATTTGACACTCTAGGGCATGTAGATCAATAATGACTACACCAGTTAGGCAGGGACCTAGACCAGAGCATTCATTTCAATCTTCACTCCAAACGATTGTAGCATGCTTGCTCAAGTACCGTAGCAGAAGACTAGACTCACTCTGCTTGAGCAGAAGCTCAGATAATGAACCGGCCACCCGCATCTTTATTCCCCATAACCCCCATTAAAAGCATGTACCAATGACCACCAAGTGACAATAATTGCTTCCTACTTTGACATGAACTGGCCCTCAGGTGCGGTGTTGTTACCGGCTTGAAACCGCTGAATGTTAGCCTTGTAACCTGTTCATCATCAATGAAAGGCCAGAGGAAACAATTAACTGTTAGCATGCCTTCAAACCTAGCCAGCAAAACAGAACCTAGCCAACAAAACAGAACCCAGCCAACAAAACAGAACCTAGCCAACCCACAAACAAGTCATGCAAAACAGAAAAGGAGCACTGGGCTGGAAGACACTGCGAAGCTATGATCTTATCAGAGACAGCTGTCACTTCCCCTGCTCTGAACACTCCTTTAGAAGGTTTCCTCAATTTTACGAACAGCCTCGCCACCATAGCCAACGTAATTAACGATACCGCATGGGCCAGCCACGTTACAGCCGTATAAGTGTACATTTGTTACAAACTCACCGTCTGCGACAGCCCATCCGCGATTCTGGAGCTCTCGGTACTGCTGCGAGAAGGAGCAGAATCCACAGCACCAGTCCAGGAAGAAATCTTTGACCGTATCGCCGGGCAAGTTGTACTTGGCCCTCAGCTTCGTTCGGAAACCTGAAATAGAGACAGGCGATTGGAAGAACGAATAGGCAGAAGATTACACGATTGGAATAATGAACGTATCGCTGGGCAGGTTGTACTTGGCCCTCAGCTTCGTTCGGAAACCTGGGCAGAAGGAGAAATGGAGGGCAGGCGATCAGAAGAACAAATAAGCCGACGATTAGGCGAACGGACGAACAGGCGAACGGACCGAAGGAAGGACAGGGGTCCGGAGACACACGGATGAGAGGGCAGAGCTGAAATAGGATCGCCCCCTGGGTGAGCTGAACTTACTTTTGAGACGTCTCAAAACTAGGATCGCCCCTTGGGAGAGCTGAACTTACCGATGAATACACGCATGCTGCCAGAAGGCAAGCGCGGCCAGGAAGAAGTAGTCTTTTGAGACGTCTCAGAACACTTCGTGTGAGCTGAGCTTACCGAATGAATACACGCATGCTGCCAGAAGGCAAGCGCGGCCAGGAAGAAGTAGTGTTTTGAGACGTCTCAGAACACTTCGTGTGAGCTGAGCTTACCGAATGAATACACGCATGCTGCCAGAAGGCAAGCGCGGCCAGGAAGAAGTAGTGTTTTGAGACGTCTCAGAACACTTCGTGTGAGCTGAGCTTACCGAATGAATACACGCATGCTGCCAGAAGGCAAGCGCGGCCAGGAAGAAGTAGTGTTTTGAGACGTCTCAGAACACTTCGTGTGAGCTGAGCTTACCGAATGAATACACGCATGCTGCCAGAAGGCAAGCATCCACGAAGCACCAGATCAAACACGCCTCCTGCGCATCTGCGACCATCGAAAGAAACAACGGCGAGAGTGAGAGAAGGGTAGGCAAACGGAAATGCAAACGGCAAAGCGGCATGCGGCAGAACAAAAGCGAAAAATGAATCACAATCAAAACAAAACAAAAACCGTCAGCGAAGTACTTACCCACGTTACCGTCGGTCACGATTTCGGCGATTCGACCGAAAGCGACGCAGGGACACCAGAAAGAGCAGCAACCTGCGGGAGGAATGAAGAAAACAGCACGCGATGGAATCTTTAACGGCTGGAAACGCTAACGTAGTAATCAAACAAACAAAACGAACAAAACAAAACAAACAAACAAACAAGGGTAGAGTATAAGCTTTATTACAAACGCTAATGTCCTCAAAGCAGCCGCACCACCCCGTCGTCCACGAGCCCATCGGCACCGCATTAAATTGCACAGGCGGAGGCGCGGTTGGTGCCGGTGCCTGTGCGGGTGCTGGGCCAGGCACGGGATATCCGACCGCGTCGGCCATCGTTTGCCACCACCAGGCAGGAGATAGAGTCGAACGGGGGACTTCCCAATTGACGGAAACGGGAAGGGTCACGGGATGCTGGGAAAACTAGGCAGGGAACTTCAGGGTGACAAATGAGGAGCGAGCGTGGCGTGGGAAGGTGTACGGAATAGTTAAAACTGAAAGGGGAAAAGGCGGCGCGGAGGTGAGGTGATTAACGGGCCAGAATGACACTGAGAACAGCGAAAGGGGATTATGTTTCAATTGGAGTGTGGGTGCGCGGGGGGAAGTGAGGGAATGTGCTGGTGCTGCTTTGGTCTGGTTTGGTTTGGACCTGGGCGGTATGTTGGTGGGGTGTGCCAGCGATTCGGCAATTGGTGGTTGTTTTGGCTTTGCCCTTTTGGTTCGGTCTTGCGATGTGGTTGTTCACGCCTTTGTGGTTCTGGTTCGGAGTTGCGGCACGGTACAGTACGCATGCAAGCAGCCAGTGAGGTTCGGTCATAGGTTGTGGCTCGGTGATGCTTCATGAGGCTCTCCGAGCCGTGCAGGTTATTTCGCCGTGTGGCTCAAGGCCAGCGATACCCTATACGCAACGGAACCAAGGAATTCACGCACCAGAACATACGCTGCATAAGGAACACCGCTGATATGAAAATACGCATTTGCTAGTGGTGGGTTGTGAAACATGGCATTTTCCTTCCGAAGGCTACTTATGAAATATAGTGAAAATGCATATCATTCTACACAAACACCTTATTGAAAGTTGCTACATGGCGGTTTGCAGCAAACCGAAAATGGGGAAATGCCTTCCATCAAAACGAAATTGGAACACTCTACTTCTTCATAAACTGGCCCTGAGGCGGTACATTTCCTGCTTGAAACCTCATGATGTTAGCTCGGTAACCTGTTGGTGCAAGAAGAAATCAAGAAATTAAAACCGGAGGTCCAAGAGTTTTGAAGTTAGGAAGGTTGATAGGGGCAAGAAAAGTGACTGGCTCGCGAGCCAGGGTGGTGTCGAAATCAGTGGTAGCGGGTCGCAAAGTATTATAAACTCGCGAGTGTAACCAGATCTGGAATGCTACGTCCTAACTGGTTCGCAGACTGTTTCGGACGGGCTGCAATTTTGTTTGCGAAGTTGTCACTGCTATCGTCCTCGCGAGAACAGTAATTTCGCTTGGCGAAATTCGTCCCAACAATTTGCGAGGAGAGTCTGTATCAACTGGGTCACGCCCAACCAAAGTTAGGAAGGTTGAGGCAGTTTTGGGCTGTTTGGGACTCCGGTTTTAAGAAGGTTTTGAACCACGAACAGAGGACGCACAAGGCAGAAAAAACAACGAAGACGGTTATGAACTCACCATCCGCAGGAATCCATCCGCGATTCTTCAACTCGCGGTATTCTTGGGAGAAGGCGCAGGTCTGGCAGAACCAGTGCAAGAAAAAATCGTTAATTGAATCGCCGGGAAGGTTGTACTTGGCCCTCAGCTTGGTTCGGAACCCTGGATCAAAGGGACGGAGGGCCAACAGGTGGATGGATAGATGGACGAATGCACGGACGTGGATTTAAAAATAGGAGATGACGAAATGACGAGAGGAGCTGGTAGCGTGAAATGAGAGGCACACGAAATACTTAGAAAAATCCCAACTTGTGAACTATCACAGGCGCCGTCACCTGCTTTCCATTTGCCACAACGCATTTAGCACCAGATTGTTGCAAGGAGCACTCACCGAACGAATACACGCATCCAGCAAGGAGGCAACACTCGATGAGGTACCACAAGGCGCAAGCCTCCTCCATCGCTGCATTACAAGGAAAGAGGCGCACAACATTCTGATATACAGGTGAGAAGGAATCGCTCAGTGATGCCGCACCAGACTTCAAATTCAACCTCAAAGCTGGAAGCTGGTCTTTCCGAAAGGTTATATTGCCAGGAGCTAGGAAATAAGGCGTGACATCATCGCATGTCAGAGTAGGAGCATACATACGCACGCTCTCGTTCGCCTCAAGCCTACTTACCGACGTTACCGTCCGTCGCAATCTCGGCGACTCGGCCGAAGACCACGCATGGGCAAAAGTAAGCGCAGCAGCCTGCAGGGAAAAAATGAAGGCACGAAAAGCGTTGGCTATTTTGTCAACACCGTGAATTCTGGCGGATTCGACTCCAATAAGAACAGCAAGCGAGAAACGTCGAGATTATCCGCGGCCCGCGGGGCAGGGAATCGGCAAGAGGAGAACGTCTGAAGCACGCTTCAAGATTTCTCCAAAGCCCCTCCTTAAAACCCTCCGACCTTAGGGAATATCTTACAGGATTCGCAGTCGTCGAAGCAGCCGCAGCATCCCGTCGTCCACGTGCCGGTTGGGGCTGGCGAGAATTGCACAGGTGCAGCCATGGGTGGTGCCGGTGCGGGGTATGATGCTGTTGGGTACGCCATGCGACAAGTTGGTTTGCGGCTTGGAAATCGACCGAGGGAGTATATGCGCGATCAATAACAGATATCTGAGCGAGAACGAGGAGGTGAGTGCAATGAAAACGGAAGGGAAAGCAATATGCTAGTGTCCAGCGAGTGAATCAATTGTAGCAAGTCGGATGGTTGAGTTGAGTTCATGGTTGAACTTGGAGATATAAATAATGGTGGAATGGGTTTGGTGTGACGACGTCGATGAATTGGACAAGCCGCGGCGCGCCGTGTCATGAAGGTATGCGTGTCGTGTGGTTTGATGATGCGTGCCATTCGGTTTGGAAGCTGGTTTGTGCCATCGCTGTTGGCTGGTCTGGTATGGAAGGCGGCCCAGCTTTGCCGTAGACTGCAAGTTCGGAGAATGCCCTACGTGTGTCACTGGCGTGAAGGGAATCTGAGAAGAGTGTCGGCCCATGAGGCCTGGGAAACTGAAGCTTAGCCTCAGGATGTCGCGGCTCGTTCGGCTTCATAAGATAATTACGGCTTGGCTGCCAGCTACAACAATAATTGTGTTACTGCAGTTGTGCCCCCTCCCCCCTCCCTCTCCGTATCTGTCAATAACGAGGAAATCCCGCGACGTTGCACAGTACCGAATATGACAGCGTAAGAAACATCTCACTACACGAAAAGGACTCAACTTTGCTTCAGCTTATAGCATGTATTCAAACACTCCAGAGATCCGCAACTTCCACATAGTTTACTTGACGTTTACTGTTATAAATGAACTTGCAGAGTGCGCATAATAACGAATAACGAGAACGAGGATTTCAGAATGACGATACAATCAAAGTAGCGAGACCTAAATAGGGGAAAACTTAGCTAGGCGGGGAGGACGGGCTAGGATGGCTCGGGAAGTACTGCGATTGGAGCAGATACAACTCGGCGAGGTTTTGGTGCGGAAATGTAGGCCGAACGTGAGGTTCGCGTGACCCTTGGGACGGACTCGTTAATGAGTGCTGCAGTAAGGATGAGTAGATCCCTATATTTACTGATCCGTGGAGGAGAAATTATAGGCTTTGCACTCGCGCAATTCTAGGCTTTGCACTCACTCAACTTATTCCCAACCAACCTGGACAAGAGTGTTACACTACAATATTACCGCTACTGTCCAGAGATGTAGATACCTTTACATTCCTACTAATGCCTAATCCAGAAACTCCAGTTGCTTGAAATCTTGGAATTTGCCATTTCTGTTAACTCTGCATGAACTGCTGCGGAGGGGGGGATCTGGTCTTGTTTGCCGAGAAACCTGCATTCGAAATTCATAATGACCCAAGAGGGCAGCAAAGAATTGACATTATTGAAATCTAAGCATTCATGCGCTCCATTGTTATACTCACCGTGAAGTGAAATGAATATCCAAAAGCGATGAGAACTCATTACTACGCGCACCACTCCGAAGCGACAGCACACAGCCCACACTGCAAGTCCACCCCCACGTGACAGCACACTACTGACAATGTGCTGGTATCGTGTGAGAAACTTACTATTGCACAAGACTCACCAATAGATGGGTCCCAGCCGCGGTTCTGCAGTTCGCGATACTCCTGGCTTACAGCACAGAGGGTACAGCACCAGTGCATCCAGATGTCGCCACAGGGATCAGCAGGAAGGCCATACTTCATCCGCAGCTTCTTTCGATACCCTGAAAAAGAAAAGGGAAAACAGAGGCGGAGATGAACATGGGACGGCGGGAAGAGGGGCCGGGATAGAAAGGAAAAGGGTAAAAAGACAGTAACGCTATTAAAACATATATTTGTGAAGCCGGGTCAGACACGGAGACGCTGCTTATCATTTCTCCTATTACCTAATTTTGCAAAGCAAGAGATTATCAAAGAAGCGCTTGCTCGAAATGCGGGATTCGACTTACCCATGGAGTACAGACACCCGCACCGGGAAAACGCTTCAATTAAGTACCAAAAGAGGCACGTCTGGGTGGAATCTGTAACAAGGCGACGAACAAAAGTAGTCGTTCACCTCGCACTTCAGGGATATAGGCGGCAAGTACGGACAATGGTAACGGCAGCACAATTGGCTTTTATCAGCAGCGGAAAACAAAGCTCCAGTGTTAAGGGTGACTTGAAACCATCGCGCCGTGTAAGCTGATAGACACCCGATATTAACGGAAAATGAGGGCTTACCAGCTTCTCCGTTATCCGCAATCTCAGCAATTCGGCCGATGGCGACACACGGACACCAGAAAACGCAACAGCCTGCACAGGAAAAGACAAGGTAGCCAGAGTTTCAGCGATAATATAAATGCTTGCCGGTCGAGTTCTGTGTGGATATGTTTGAAGGTCGTTTCTGGAACTCCTGAGTCGACAATGTTGCCTTATGAAACCGTACTCCTATATTAGAACGAACGCATATCCATATCCTAGACAGAGAAGAGCGTGACAGGTCAACTTACACGAATTACAGTCATCGAAGCAGCCGCACCAGCCAGTGCTCCATTTCCCGGTAGGGGGGTAGTTCCCGTCCGCCATTACAACTCTGCTCGAGGACGATAGGTGGTCTGAGAAGTGGACCCTGACGAGGCGGAGACGGAACCAGAAAGGACTGAGCGCGATGAGGCTTCTGTTGGCCAATGTGAAGGCCAAAGGACAGGAAACAGAAGGCTGAAGTTGAGATTGCTCAATGTGGGATGATATATCAGCTGAAGGTGTGAGCTCGTGTGGGAAGGATAGAGGGCAGTGATGAGGCAGACTGAAGTTAATGTAGTTCAGAGAGGTTTGTTGGGATCTGCTTGTCTATGAATCGGTGGTGGGTGGTAGAAGTTCTTGTTGGAGAAGAAATTGAAGGGCAGTGTCACAAAAGGGCGGCTGGCCCCAACCAATACAGTAGCTTTGGTTCGCCGACTTCCGCACCGCACACATTTCCGCACAAGCCTGAGGCTGCACGTGAGGTGGAGGACTCGTTGCCACGAATTCAGTGGTTGGTTTCCCTTCGGCACCCCCGACCTAACCTGCTAGGCAAGCCAGGAACGCACTAGCCAACCAGAGGAAAGCTGGTTCGATCATACCTGTACTGACTCCTCCACACCTCACCTGAACTGCTGCCAAGGCTCATCACATCACAAGTCCCGCCTGATTCATCCAGCAAACTCTCCCTGAGCAATTTTTCGTGGCCTGGAGGTCAGGCAAGGCACATAGGTGTTCCCCTGTGTCTCACACGTACCAAGCTGGTGGGTTTGGCTGGAATAAACTCTGCGTTTGTGTTACGAGTGCAATTGAGTGAACGAACGAAAATTGCACTATCTAAGCAAGAATCCAATGAGCGAAGGTATGAGCGAAGAATATATAGCGAAACTACAGTGGTAACGGTAATGGACTGCGGTTGTCGCGTGACGGGCAGGGGAACCCAGTTGTCTTCGGTGGCGGTTTTTCCAGCGGATCAGGAACTCGATCCTTCGGGCTCCTCGAAGGTCACGAACTCGGTGGCTCAGGATTTTTTCGGGGGTGATGATTGGTTCAGTTGGTGGTCGTGTCATGCTGGCTGGGCGAGTGCGTGGCAGTTGGCTCGTGGACGGGACGTAAGGGCGAAGCAGGTTGGCGTGGAATGAGGGGCTGACGTACCAGTCCGCAGGGAGGAGGAGGTGGGCAGTGACGGGTGTGATCATGTGGCTGATGCGAAATGGTCCACAGTATCGGGGGCGGAGTTTTGGGGTGATGGGCAGGCGGAGGTTCTGGGTGTCAAGTAAAACCAGGTCGTCGGGCTGGTAAGTGACAGGTCTGCGGTGGCGGTCGGCGTTACGTTTAGCGATGATGTTGGATTTTTTTATTGCATCTGCTGCCCGGGTCCGTGCTGTTTGTAATATTTCGGCAAACTGTTGCGCTCGTGGCACTGGGTTGTCGGGATTCGGGGTCATGGGTACTGTCGGGTCTTGTTCGTAGTTTAAGTAAAATGGTGACTGTTGGGTCGTGGCGGATGGCGAGTTGTTGTACGCGAATTCGATGAGTGGCAGTTGCTGTTCCCACGTGGTCGGGTCATTGCACGTGGCCCTGATGAGCTGTTCCATGGTCTGATCTGTCCGTTCTGTCTGTCCGTCGGTTTCGGCGTGGTATGATGAACTGAACTGCAGTCGCGTGCCGAACTGCTGCCATAGGTTCCGCCAGAAGTTGCTGGTGAATTTCGTGTCGCGATCGCTGATTATTGCTGCTGGTATCCCGTGCAGTCGAACGACAGTGGAGATGAAGAGTCGTGCTGTTTCTTCGGCAGTGATTGTTTTTTTGCAGGCTGCGAAATGTGCCATTTTCGTCAGTCGATCAACGACGACCAGGATCGCGTCGTTCCCACTCGCCCCGCCTGGTAACCCCGTGACGAAGTCCATCGTCACCTGCTGCCAAGCACGCTCTGGAGGTGGTATCGGCTACAACAGTCATGCCGGCCGTTGCCTTGATGATTTCATAAGCTGACAAGTGGGACACGATGCCACGTGTCGTTGTACGTCGGTCAACATTTCGGGCCAGTAATAATACCGCTGCAGCTGCTGCCGTGTTTTTTCTACTCCGAAATGCCCCGAGGTAACTCCGTCATGTGCCTCCTGTAAGAGTAATTCCCGTAGCAGTGTATACCCAGGCACCCAAATGCGGTCAGTCCCGGCTTTTACGTAATAGACTCCCCTTGCTGCTGCGAACTGCTGCGAATTTCCTCCTGTGAAGAATGGGTCCGTTTGGTACCCGTGGGTAAATAGGCCTGTCAGTAGTGGGCTTGTTTGGGCGAGTAGTATTGCGTTGTTCTGGGCAGTGGGGCGGGGTCAGTGCGTCGGCGATGTTCGAGGCTCCCTTTTTGTAGGTGACCGTGTAGTGAAAATTTGACTCGAGGAAGTCGAGCCAACGAATCTGTCGTGGGTTGAGGTGTGGCTGTGCGCGGAGGTACTGTAGTGATTTATGGTCTGTCCGTACTGTCACGTCTGCGCCGGTCAAGTAACAGCGCCACACTTTGAACGCGTGCACGATCGCAAGCATTTCGCGGTCGTGTATCGGGTAATTTTTCTCGGGCGGATGCAGTTTTCGTGACTCGTATGCGATGGGCTGTAGGCCGTTGCCGAAGTCCTGTAGCAGTACGGCTCCGATGGCGATGTCGCTGGCGTCAGTAACTACTTCGAATGGGCGGTGTGGGTCAGCGATGCGCAGGACGGGCGGTGAACAGAGAACAGTTTTCAGGGTAGAGAAGGCAGCATGCTCTTTCTCCCCCCACGTAAAAGCGACCCCCTTCCGTAATAAGTCTGTTAGTGGCGCCGTCAACCGTGCCATGTCGGGGACGAACCAACGCACGTAGTTTACGAACTCTAAGAAACTCTGCAGTTCCGTAATATTCGTCGGGGGGTGCCAGGCTTTTACCGTGTCTAACTTCTTTGGATCAATTTCGACCCCAGCCTCCGAAATAACGTGCCCCACAAACTCTAACCTGTCCTGAAAGAACTCGCACTTGGAACCCTTTGTCAGTAGCCGATGCTCGTCTAAAATATTAAATACTGCTTCCAAATCTGCTAAGTGCTACTGCTTGTCGCGATTGTAGACGAGGATGTCGTCGAGGTAAACTATCACGCATTTATCTAAAAGCGGCCTAAACGCCTCGTTCATGGTCATCTGAAAAGTCGCCGGTGCGTTGGTCAGCCCGAATGGCATCATAGTGTACTCGAACGACCCGTACCTAGTCCTGAAAGCTGTGTTGGCGCAGTCCGATGGTTCGACCCTAATCTGATGGTAACCTCCCCTTAAATCTATTTTCGAAAAAACCCGTGTTGTTCGCAGTTGGTCGATCAATTCGTCGGCGCGGGGAATGGGGTACCGCGACTTGACTGTTACCCTGTTCAGTGCTCTGTAGTCGATACACATGCGAAAACCCCCGTCTTTTTTCGGTGTGAATAGTATCGGTGCGGCGAACGGTGACGAACTCGGTCGGATGAATTTTTTCTCTAACTGGTTATCTAACTGCTTCTTCAGTTCGTCGAGCTCTGGCTGTGTCAGTCGGAATTGTCGCTGTACAGTTGGCTGTGCCTCCGGTTCTAATTCTATGCGGTGGTCATGTGCCCGTTGAGGTGGCAGTCCTTCTGGTAAGTCGTCCGGAAAAATCCCGGGGTATCGTTTCAACAGTTCCTGTAGTTCGGGCGGTACTGCTGCTAACACTTTATGAAAATCGCTCGGCTGCTCTGCTTCTTCTATTACGGCAATGTCCATTGCGTACACGTCAGCTCCAGCGGCGACTGCCCGTTTCATCGAGATGGCGTTGACGTGGACCGTTGAA